GCTGAGAAAAGGGGCGCTCGTCCTAAAAGTAAACTAGATGAGCGCTTCCTTTCTTCAGCTACATCATCTCCACCACGAGGCCTTCCCTTTTTTCCCGATCTTCATAATGAGTTATCTAGATCATGGAATAAGCCATACTCGTCACGTCTTTTCAGCCCTCAGGTTAATATATATTCAGGTATAAGAGGGCTGAAAGAGTACGGATATGAGGCGATGCCCCAGGCTGATCAGACGCTCGCGAGCTATCTGTCACCTGGCCCAGCATCGTCTCTGAAGGCCTCAGCTTTGCCCACTAGACCTCTTAAAGCAACTTCGGGTTTAGTGGGCAAAGCGTATACGGCAGCAGGTCAAGCTGGAGCATGTCTGCACACTATGGCAGTGCTCCGGGCTTACCAAGCTGACCTGCTGGGGGATCTGGATAGGAGTGAGGGAGTTGGTCCTGACGAGGTTCTAGAACTTCGTCGGGCCACCGATCTGTCTCTCAGAGCTACGAAGGAGACCGCCAGAGCAATTGGGCGGTCTATGGCAGCCCTTGTAGCTACTGAGAGGCACCTTTGGTTAAATCTGGCCGAAATAAGAGAAAAAGACCGGGCTTTTTTATTGGATGCTCCGCTTGAGCCTTCTGGTCTCTTCGGCGACGCAGACTCATATGCTCTCATTGGGAAATGCGGAACAATTAGTTCATGCGTTCATGACCTCAAGGCTAGACTATTGTAATGCTCTACTGGGTGGTTGCCCTGCACGCTTAATAAATAAACTACAGCTAGTTCAAAACGCAGCAGCTCGAGTTCTTACCAGAACCAGGAAATATGACCATATTGGCCCGGTTCTGTCAACACTGCATTGGCTCCCTATTAAACATCGTATAAATTTTAAAATATTGTTTTAAAATTTTTAAAATATTATTATTATGTTCAAAGCTAGACTAAAAACACATCTCTTTGACCTAGCATACACATAATACATTATAGACTTCTATAATTCAATGTTAGGCTGCATAGATTAGGTCAGCCGGAACTGGGAACACTTCCCTTAAATCTTGATGTACTTGTTACTTCATAAGAAGAATGGCATCTACGCTAATATTAGTGTCTTTGTTTATCCCGAGGTTTTCCCGCAGCCTGCCGTATCCAGAGCTGACGAAGGAGATTCGCCTGGACCCGATGACAATGCAGTGCTGAAGTGTCGACTATCCTCTCCCTATGGAGGATCCCTTTCCCACTCTACAGAGAAAGCGTTGTGAAATTTGGTTCGCGTACCCCGTTGGGATAAAATAAAACAAAATTCTGTATCAAAATTTATAGGCAAGACAAGTAGTTTGTTTAGGCATGGGTTGTATGGAATTACAAACCTGCGCACATATTTTCAAAAGCACATAACTATATAATCATTTCTGAATGTGCATGTGAATGCCGTCAGCGTTAATCACAGGTTCGCGTTTAAAGTCTGATCATTTCGACGGAGGTGAATCAATCAAAATTAACTTTAGCTGGAAATAACATTATTCAAGAACCGCTATAAAACCAAAACAATCTCTGTTACCTTAAATTATATGTTTATCTCTGTAAAGCTGCTTTGAAACAATCCATTGTTAATAGCGCTATATAAATGAAGATGACCTGACTTGACTTGACTACTGCGATGTTTGGCTTTAGCATTGGAAGGCAAGCGTAACATGACCAATAAGTTGCCACCTGTTCTAGCAAAACAATACACACAGAAGACAATATTCGTCCGCCCAGGCGAGCAACCACCAAGAAAAGGTGTTAAAACCAATTCTCGCCCAGGACAACTGGAAGCTGCTAGGGACTGGAAAATGCTGGCTGATCTTGATCAACGGCTTATTTTTCCACCTGAGATTGCCACCACTAACCTCCGACCAGATATTGTTTTGTGGTCTGGATCAGCACGCATTGTTCAACTGATAGAGTTAACAGTGCCATGGGAGGATGCTGTAGATGAGGCATATGAGAGGAAGAAACTGCGGTATGCTCATCTTGCCACTGAACCAGAACAGTGAGGATGGAGAGTCCAGGTTTATCCAGTGGAAGTGGGTTGTCGAGGATTTGTGGCACACTCTACAACCCGGTTCCTCAGAGACGTCAGATTCAGTGGCCAAGAGTTGCGTCGCACAGTAAAGAACTTATCTGAAGCAGCAGAGAGGAGCAGCAACTGGCTGTGGTTGAGACGGAAAGATTCTGGCTGGCTGTGTACAGGCCGCCACGCTACGCTACAGTTTCGTAGAATTCTTGAAAAACTCGAAGAGTCTGTTGGTTTGTATAGTTTGCATAGTAATTACAGTTATTACGTTCCTGTGTATATTGCGTGAATGAGGGTTGGTGTTTGGGTAGATATTGTGTTTTGCGGTAGGTAGTATGCCATACGGAACCGTTGCCACTGAACCTACTTTAACGAAGACAGTGGGGCTCGACAGCAATCGGAGAGATTGTGAGATTGTGGTTAGGTCACATGTGAACTACGAGGAAGGAGCAACCTCAGTAGCAGGAGGGATGTAAAGGTCAGTAAGCTGGGCTGAGTTGAGTGGGGGACGGAGGGGGGTGACTCTGGGACGCCAGAGTCACTGTCGAGCCCTCTTGAGATGTCGTGGGCTAGACGACGAAACACTGAGGACGGAAGGTGCCCACTTGAAGACCCTAGAGATGTCCCCTACTTGGCTCAATCCAGACGGTTGTTGTGCTGGTCCACTGGGGAGACCACACTGTAGTTGCAGCCGTTGTGTGTGCTGACGCGCCAAGTACACTGCAGCCGTTAACGCCTGACAGAAGGAGATTCACATCACCATATGGAAAGAAGCGTAAATGGATGGAGAAGCATAGGTTACTGTAAAGCTACGTCTTAGTTTGTGCTTATCTTGGCGAAAGCCGAGTACAAATCAGCATGAAGTTTTAACATCTACTCTCGTGTAATGGAAAACATCCTGTTTGCCTATTTTTTTGGGAACCGATGTTTGATACCCTTTGACATCATAGATCCCCACTTTGAAAAACCTGTCGTTCGCTGTGCCTTGGTGTCAATAAAAGCTTTTATTGGACTAACAAGGAATTTTTCAGTTCTGAAACTTACAGGATATACTTATAGAATAATGACCTCTTATATGTCAAAAGCTCAAGGAAAATTAGATTTCTCAGTTCATCACACCTTTAAATTATGACTAATAAATTGTTTAAATGTATTTCAAAGTCAACATTTTTCAAATTTATTCTTACAGAGCCTGATTGATTTAGTTTACGCCTAAACGTTAATTAATGCATTAACTATCAAACATAACATGTTTAAGGCTGCTGTTATTCATGCATGAATCATTATGACTCCTGACGAGGATCACTCTTCATTGGTTCATATCTTCACTAATCATGAGTTCATGTTGAAGTAACTATTAGGCTAATTCAGGTATTAGTACATGATTATTCATGCCCTGTTATTGTAAAGTGTTACCATTTTAATTAATTTATGAAACCACTGCAGGTCAAAATTTATCATTGCATACATTGTTGTTATATTATGATGACATCATATGATGATTAGTTTACTGTGCTGTAAATAGAAAAGACTGTCAATATCACTGCTAAATACCGTTACATCCCGCCATGTTTCTCACTGACGCCCCCAACTCGTAAAGATCGGAGCTTAAAGAAAATCCCGAGCTTCCAACTCGTATTTACGTGTGCGCCATCAGCCTGCCTTTATGCAAAAAGGGCCTTAATTAAAAACAATAAACATACAACCTCATTCGAGGTCTTACGAAAATGAACAACTGACTCTAATCTGGCGATGTAATACTCACAACGAAGGTACATACAAAAATCATACAGATAGCTTAGGTTTTTTTTGTATGTCTGTAACAGCACAGCTGGTGCTTCGACCTGCCTGCACAGGGAGCCCTGAGGGCACACCACACTGAGATTGAGATCAAACACCTAATGCCGAGTTCAGACTGCACGATTTTCAAAATAATCGGGTCACTGTTGTTTTCACACTGCATGACTATCTGGGGTAACATTCAGTTGCTGCTGTGTTCACACTGCACGATGGATCGGCGACAGGAGGTTTCACACTGCATGACTTTACAAAAGAAAGAATCGCCGACAACTTCTGCCTGGTCCGCAAACTACGTTTCACAACCAAACAAACACGAGAAGTGATAGGGAAATAATGGAAGATCACGCGTGCGTGAGACCGGAGTTCTCGCGCGACACTTAATTTGTTATTAAAAATGATAGCCTACAAGAAGATTGCGATCCAAATTGTATGTGCGCTGATTTGTAGCGAAAATGAGAAAAATAAACAGTTTATGCAGGAGGAAATGGTTGGGAAGACGAGGGGAGCAAGGACTGTGCAAAGAGAGTTGGGGGTAAATAAATAATTTAGCAAATGTCCTGCTGTTGCTGCTGGTCATGCAAATGTTTGTGCTTTGTTTCTGTTTGATATAATTGTAAAGGGCTATCTATTAAAATACTGATATTCTGGTCTATAACTCCTCCCCGAACATCCTGCTGTCCTGTATCTTGCTCTCTCATTGGCTGTCGGTCATCGCCGATGTAGTTTTCAGTCATAACACTTTTCACACAGCAGGATTTTGAATCGCCGACAGGTCCAGATATTTAGCATGCCAAATATCTCACGGGCGTCGGCGACTCGTCGGTGATTCTCTCAGATCACGTCTTTGCTCATTCACACTGCGTGATTGTCACTCGCGTGAACGAGCACCGATTTGCCTGTGATTTCGGGCATTTGTCGGCGATTTCTCAAAACCTGTCGGCGAGCCAAAATCAGGGCTAAAATCGTGCAGTCTGAACTCGGCATAAGTTACACACCTCCGTAGACTGTAGCAACAAAAGAAAGGGGCGGGCTTTCGACCATGACGCACTCCAGGAGGCATAAGGTGTGTTCGACATCAGGTGCAGTTTGATACCATGATTGGGAATATATATATATATGTGGCCCGGTGTGGAAGATAGTGACGACACCGGACACAGAGCTAGAATTATGAAGGGGTTTTTATTCCAGACTGCGTTTTGAACGGCGCAGCATTAATTAAGCAGGATTTCAGGAACTTAAATTAGACAGGATTGTGTAAATTGAACTAAAACAATAAAGTTGGCTTTTCACATCAAAATGAGTCTCACTGTCTCTTGTTTTCCGTCACAACATCAAATGAACCCTTCACAAACTCAGTCTGACTAACATAGACAACAGTAGCAGCCTTTCTCTCTAGAAAACACATACACAAGCGGTTATAGCATTTGTCATCACATATTACCAGGAAAGCTGCTTTGTCACAAGCAAAATACAGTACAATGAATATTAGAAATCACACTTCCAGTATTTGCATAAACCTTTCAAAACGATCACACACTTTTACACTCAATGTCTCACATTTTCACAAACACTTGTACATTCACATGAAATGAACAAAGTTCAAACTTACTCTTTGTCACCACTTAATGACCCATAAACAGCTTCACAGTGGAAGACGCACTTGAATTTCCCTCTGATGTCTCACTCTCGGCCCAGTAACACACGGAGGGCCTACACAGATCACCCTTCTCCCCTCTAATTTATTAGACAGAAGTCCATTTCCATTTCACGGTAATGATAATGTTTGTATCACTCACGCTTCTCATGAATTGTGTTGTTGGAATTTCCCCACACCGAGATGATTCTCGACAGAAATCACCATCAATTGACGCAATACACGACCATCCGGTCTCGCAAAGCACGTAAGAACACTTTACACACTCTTAAAAGTCCTTATTTCTCACTATATCACTATATCACTGACTTTTTGTCACCTTTAACTCAGCACAGCGTCCGCATGAAGAGCTTCCACGACCACGTTGGGAAAGCGCGCTGCTCACACTCAGTTCTCGCGACACTTTCAGAAGTGACGTTCCTTAAAGGGCCAGCGTAACATCACGTCCATAACTGAGAAAAGCACTAAAACACTTCACATATGCAGTTCACTTAAACAGGACTCTGTTAAACAGTTCAGTAATTAACTTTAGTGACTTTTGACCCGGTTACACTCTCCCCTGCTGATAGTCGACGTCCCCGGTGACTACCAACCCTGAACATCTTAATCCTCTCGCCCTCTTGGCAACTCTCCTGTGGCGTGACGGACCATCCCGCTGGCATCTGGGCGAGCCTCTCAAGATTAACAGCCATTGCATTACACGCTGACTTGGGCAAACGGTTCAGGTTCCTATGCACTCCTGCAGTTTTCCTTTGTGTTCTACGCATGGCAGGACAAGGCACTTCTGGACTAACACACTCCCTCCTCTCCTCTCTAGGTGCAGGCACTGATCTCATCTCAGGACTCCCAGCAGGTAAGTGAACACTTCCTGTTTCTAGTTCCCGAGATACTGGCATCACTCCTCGGGTGTCAGTGTCCTCGCTGCACTCTGGTTTCGTACGATAACTTACGCTAGGGGAACACAATGCAACACGCCGTGCGTACAGGGATCCAACACCAAAGTCCCAGGGTCCGAAGCCCAGGGCTCATATAGTGCATAATCACCATAAACTCACATAGAGTGGAGGAAGAGAGGCTGGAAGCGTCATTCCTTATAAAATAGCACCCAGCGGGGCTATCATATGACAATTAAACGCGCAGCCAGGGTGAAAGCTTTCAGCCTGATCTGAGTGGCCATACGTGTGTCAACACTCATGGGGCTGCAGTAAACTCAGCATCTGGGCCGCACAGCAGGGCAGATAGCACTGAATTCTAGACCGCCAAAAGCTTAGCTTGTAAGGCGGGTACCTCCAGGTTATAGTATTTTATAAATGTAGACGGCGAGGCCCAGCCCGCGGCCGTACAGATATCTTGCAGGGTAACCCCGCTAGACCATGCCCACGAAGAGGCCACGCCTCTCGTGGAGTGCGCTCTGACACCCAAGGGGCACTGCAGGCCCTTTGCAGTGTAAGCGAGCGCAATGGCATCCACTATCCATCTGGATAGGCTCTGTTTTGAGGCGGCAAGTCCCTTGGAGCGCCCGCCAAACAAAACGAAAAGCTGCTCAGTCTGTCTGAAAACAGACGAGCGCGACACATAAGCTCTTAATGCCCTGACGAGGCAAAGGAGACTCGCGTCCTCCTCCTCATTGAGAACCGGAAGGGCGGACAGGGAAATTACCTGGGCCCTAAACGGTGTATTGAGGGATTTCGGCACATACCCGTGCTTAGGTTTGAGAATGACCTTCGAGTCATTAGGCCCAAACTCCATACATGACGCGCTTACTGAAAGCGCCTGCAAGTCCCCTATGCGCTTCACTGAAGCGAGAGCCATGAGAAACACTGTTTTGAACGACAGGTGTTTCATGTCCACCAGCTGGATTGGCTCGAACGTGGCGCCTTTCATGGCCTCCAGGACCGTGGAAAGGTCCCACGTCGGGACTGAAGGGGGCCTGGGAGGGTTTAGCCTCCGAGCTCCCCTAAGGAAACGCACGACTAAGTCGTTCTTCCCCAGCGACTGGCCAGACACCGGTTTTGCAAACGTTGCTATGGCCGCCACATATACTTTGAGCGTGGATGGGGTCCTGCCCTTATCCAGTAGCTCTTGAAGGAAGGAAAGCACTTCCGAAACCCCGCAGTCCACAGGTGAAAAGCTCTGGGCTTGACACCATGCAGAGAAAACAGACCATTTCGAGGAGTAGAGCCGCCTGGTAGACGGAGCTCTAGCCTGCGCGATCGTGTTTAACACTCCTTCTGGGAGGCTAGCGGGTACCCGTTGATGGCCCATGCGTGCAGGGACCACAGCTCCGGGCGAGGATGCCAAATCGAGCCCTCCGCCTGAGAGAGGAGGTCTCTCCTCAATGGTACAGGCCATGGGGCAGTGCTGGTCAGCTGCATCAGGGCAGGGAACCACGTCTGGTTTGTCCAGAGCGGAGCTACGAGCAGCACTGGGCATCCGTTTTCCCTGATTCGTTCCAACACTTGAGGCAGGAGCGAGACAGGAGGAAAAGCATATAGGGGGCAGCGGGGTCAAACATGAGCCAGCGCGTCCTTGCTTTTCGAGAAAAACTTCGGGCAATGAGCATTTTCGTGGGACGCGAATAGGTCCACCTGTGCTCTGCCGAACGTTTTCCACAGCAGCTGGACCGTCTGCGGGTGCAGCGACCACTCCCCTGCTGGAACATTGTTCCTGGACAGTCTGTCTGGTCCCACATTCAGGTGACCAGGCACGTGCGCTGCTCTCAGTGAGAGCAGGTTGTGCTGAGCCCAGACCAGGAGGCGTTCCGTCAGCCTGTGAAGGTTTCGTGACCTGACGCCGCCCTGGCGATTTATGTATGCCACCACTGACATGTTGTCCGACCGGACCAAGACGTGGTGGCCTGTTACCTGGGGACAAAAACGCCGTAGCGCTTTGTCGACTGCTATCATCTCCAAGCAGTTTATGTGAAGGAGCTTTTCCCGTTCTGACCACAGGCCAGCTAGCGGTCTGCCCTCAAGCAGCGCTCCCCACCCCGAGGTGGAGGCGTCCGTAGACACCACCTTCACACTCGAAGCGGTCCCCAGACTCACACCTGACTGATACCAGTCGGTTATTTTCCAAGGTTCCAGAGCTGAAACACACTGTAGGTCGCCCCTGAGGCGAAACAGACCCGCTGTCCATGCCCTGGGTGGAACCCGCGCTTTCAGCCACATCTGCAGTGGGCGCATGCGAAGCAAGCCCAACTGGAGTACAGAGGCTGCTGAGGCCATCAGCCCCAGCATTTTCTGAAACCTTTTGAGCGGAACTATCGAGCCGTGGCGGAAGGATTTCGCGACGCGCTGAATATTTAGTCCGCGCTCTGGTGACAGGCGTGCCGTCATGGATAGCGAGTCTAACACTGTTCCCAGAAAGGACATTTTCTGACTGGGAGACAGTGAGCTTTTCGCCCAATTGACTGAGGCCCAGCTCCTCGAGGTGCTCGAGTAATGCGGCCCTGTGTTCTATGAGCTCCGATCGTGATCGAGCTAGAATCAGCCAATCGTCCAAGTAGTTCAGGACTCGCATGCCCTGAAGTCTCAGGGGTGCGAGCGCCGCGTCCATGCACTTCGTGAATGTACGAGGTGCTAGGGACAGGCCGAACGGCAGGACTGTGTATTGATATGCCTGGCCCTCGAAAGCGAATCTCAAGAATCGCCTGTGATGGGACGCTATTTGTATTTGGAAATACAAATACACACTTCGTTTTTCACCGTAGTTTCGACACGCGCCGTATAACTGCGAGGGTGTCGAGCGAATTGTAGCGAATAGCCTCTCTTTATAGTGTTCAGCACCCATTCTGATACCCCGGGAAGCTTTGACCACGCATCTGCGTGAATAGCTAGAGGCAGAATGAAATCCGGGCTCTGGCCGCGGCAAAACGGCAGCTCGAGAGCCCTGGTATACTGGGAACACAACACCGTGTTTACAGCATTCGAGGCGGGGGGCGCGCTGATAACAGCGGGCAGCCTGGCCGCGCTCAGCTTTTCTATGGCAGATTGTGCAGAAAAAGTGACCGGGGCCGATCCCGTAGGATTCGGCGTGTCTGTGAGAAAATGTGGGCGCGGGACTGCGGGCACATTTACTACACTGAAAACACTGTCGGTTAGAGCCGACTGAATGTGTGTTGGTTTCGTTTTTACAGAAACCAAGGGACACGCAGCGTGCAGTGTAAGCGGGCATTGTGACATGGGCGCGTTCACTACATTGTTTGCACAATCGACCTGAGTCGATTTTATTTGTGCTAGCCCTGCACCGTGGCGGGCCGTGTCTGGGTGTGGGAATGGGCACTGGGGCGTGGGCATTCTTACAACACTCATAACACCATCGGCCGTGGCCGGAACACCAGAAAATGCACTCTTTATTGGATTTATCTGGGTAGCCGTAAAAATGGCTTTTGTGCGCCGGCAAACGGGCTGAGACACCGGCTGGCTCACTGCGAAATACACTGGGACAGTCGCGATGCTTGGAACTGACCGAGCGAGAAGTTTTGGTGGAAATCCGGCCGCAGCGGGATCTGAACACCGTCGCTTTCCTAGAATGGCTAGGAAGACTTTGAGGCCTCGGGCTTGATCTCAATCCTCGGCCGGGGCCCGCGCTGAGGGGGGCGGCGTCCAGCAGAGCGAGAGCGCGGTCTTTGGTCTCGGGCGTGGCGGCGCTGTGAAGCGGCGGCGGCGGGCGGTGCAGGTTGCGGCTGAGAGCTGCGAGCAGACGGCTGTTTTGAGCGGCCTGCAGCAGAGCTCGAGCGCTTCGGAAGGAAGTGCTTCATAGCCTGCGAAGTCTTCTGCACCTCCATGAATCTGTCCGCGAAATCTTTGACGGCAGATCCGAAGAGGCCCGCTGGTGAAATGGGCGCGTCGAGGAACACAGAGCGCTCGGCTTCCGTCATCTCGGACAGCGTCAGCCATAAGTGTCTCTCAGCCACGGTGAGAGAGGCCATATTCCGTCCTATGGCCTGTGCAGCGGCTTTACCAGCGCGAAGAGCGAGGTCTGTAGCGCTTCTCAGGTCCGCCACGCAGATCGCTTCGGGTCCTTCCTCGTCCAGTTTAAGGAGAAGGTCGGCCTGGAAGATCTGCAGGATAGCCATAGTGTGCAGCGCTGTAACTGCTTGCCCGGCGGCGGTGTAAGCGCGTCCGTGCATGGCTGACGTCACTCGGCAGGCTTTAGATGGGAGCGTCGTGTGAGCGCGCCGTCCAGCGGAGGGCGGGCAGAGATGAGACGCTACAGCTGGTTCCACAGGGGGAACGGAGAGGTACCCTCTGTCCTTCGCGCCATCCACCGAGGAGAATGCAGCAGAGGCAGAGGTACGCAGCCTGGCGGAGAAGGGGGCGTTCCACGACTTAGTCACTTCCTCGTGTAGTTCCGGGAGGAAGGGCGCGGGCCTTGACTTTGACGGAGCCTCGTCTTTTCCGAGAAAGCGTCCGTCCAGTCTGTTGCGCGGCGGTTGCGCGGGCGCCTCCCAGTCGAGGCCGATGCTTTCCACGGCCTGAGAGAGCAGACGCATCAGCTCAGTCTCAATGCCGGCTCTCTTACCAGTGGTTTGGCGGGAAACGCTAGCGGAGGGGAGGTCCACGGAGCTCGCCCAATCCTCGCTATCAGATGCCAGAAGAGAACACGCCTCGGTGGGTTCGTCGAACTCGTGGACAGACGCGGCGGCAGGCGGCGGTCGTTGTCCGTCAGTGAGCGACTCGAGCGAAGCCGGCGAAGCTGGCGGGCGAACCGGCGAGCTTTGGTGGGCTGGAGAGAGCTCGGGAGCGCGCTGGGCAGGCTGTGGTGAAGGCTCGGAGAATGATGCCAGGCGAGTCCTCAGAGTCACCATAGGCAAAATCTTGCAATGAGGGCATCCGCCGTCAGCGAGCGCGATAGCCGCGTGATCCTCACCCAGGCAGGACACACAGATGACATGACGGTCCCCGTCGCTGAGTGGGGCGCGGCACG